ACAACTATAATTCAGGTTATTTTCACTAAATGGTATCACTGTGTTAAGAATCAAGTAGATGTACGGTAGATGTTACCATATTTTTTTCAGTGTATTTGTCCTGGTAGACCTGTTGAATGAACTATTAAAAAAAAAAATAAATAAAATGAAACGGGAAGTTCGAGAACCGTAAATGAATTCATGAAGTACACGAAGTGTTAGCGAAGTTTCAGAAGTTTCAGCATGTAAGTGCCACTCTGAAGCACCACGAATCACGGCGCGGCGCGATCGACTGCCAGCAGAGAGTGTGAAGTTGCTCCGACTGGTTCTTCTGGCCCCCTCTCCCTTCNGGGGGGGGGGGGGGGGGGGGGGTTCGACTCCCGTTGCCATGACTTCGCAACGGGCGGAGCTTCCATCGTCGGCCATCATGATTCCGTGAGCGCGAGTCGACGTGTGGCGCTGTCTGGTGGACAACGGATGAAGCGCCAGAAAGTGGGTTAACGCGGCACCTCCGATAACGCATCCCGTAATAGTGATACTTACCGCAGCAATGATTTTTTCCAAGTTCAGTCATCGCTGACACTCCCACGCAACCGGGTCGCCAGGGCCAAGGTCATACAGCCTCATTCAAATTTCGAGACGAGATCAAATAATGTATAATCGAGATTTCTTGTCCTGCTATGCTGCCGTGCTAAGGAAAAACGCCGTATGAGCCTTCTGACGTTGCCAAGTTTCCTTCAATTAAAAACGAAATTTACCGGGAAAATTGTGAATAATTTTTTCCAAAATTTTCAGACAGTTTTGTACGCAATGTACTCTAAAATATCTGAAAATTTCAAGGAAAAATATGCATGCATGTCCACAAAAATACATGTTTTGTTCGGAGAAATTTGGCAACTTTCGAATGTTCATACGGCGTTTTTCCTTAGCACGGCAGTACGGGAGAACATTGTATACACAGTCGAATGTTGCCTTGCCGAAGAAACGATGAGTTGGATTATTTTAAGCAATTGGGAAGCACAATTTCTGGCCCATTTTAAAAACATCATTTAGTTCCCCTGTGTAGTTAGGTGCTTTTATGGATTAGCTAGAAATTCACCAGAAAAAAAGTTTTTTGGATCAAGAGTCTAGACTTTTAAAAAATATGACAAGCAAAAGTACTTTTGATTCAATCGGCTTGCTACCTCAATCAAAAGGAAAATAGCTTCAATTAGGAGGCATGGCTCTCGATTCAAAGAAAAAATCCGATTGAATCGAGAGTATTTTTTCTCGTCCTCTCTTTCAAGAGTCTAGACTCAAGATTCAGAAGCCTTATTTTTCCAGTGTCCAGTTTTTTATCGCAAAATTCAGTCTAATTGCGAGCAGGGCCGGATTTTCCTACTTGCCGCCCATGGGCCGCCTATATTTTGCCGCCCCCTTCTCATTCGTTTTGAAACATCAGGAAAAACTATCAAGTGAACGTGCCAGCGGGGGAGGGGTGCATAAGACGCGTTTACTCGTGTTGAACACATTTTTTGGGAAAGCCCTGTCAACACCACTAGCAAAAGGTCACGGTACTTTGCGTGGGGGTCAAAGTCCTATCTCTAATGGACAAGGCCTTCCATTCATAAGAAATGAACGAAAAAAGAATGAAAGAACAAACACAAAATTTGGTTCATTGATTTTAACTTCCGCCGTCGCGCCGCGCCGACCGCAATGGCGCAATGCGTGAAGTATTCACGCAGTCTTGTAGGCGCTATCCGTTTCACGCTGACCGCACTGTGTTTGGCGCAATGCGTGAAGTATTCACGCAGTCTTGTAGGCGCTATCCGTTTCACGCTGACCACAATAACCGCACTGTGTTTGATACAATGCGTGAAGTATTCGTGCAGTCTTGTAGGCGCCAATATATGTTAAATGCCGATCGCCACGCCGAGGGTTTCTCCTTTTCATCTTAAGTCCTCGTCATCATTTCTCTGTAAGCCGCGCCGTTCCAGGCCAAATTGCGTGTTTGGTTTCTCTCTTAACTCGACTAACTGAAGGTGCTGTCTCTTGTATCACTGAAAGACGACAAAATTAGATATTACTTTACTCTCAGGAAATGAGAGATTTTGTCGCCTTTTTAATAGTAATTTTAATAGTAATTTTTTTTTTCTAAATCCGATTTTTTTATATACCTACTTTTAAAAAAATTGCAAAATTTGCCGCCCCCCATAGATTTGCCGCCATTGGCCGCGGCCCATGTGGCCACCCCCTTAATCCGGCCCTGTTCCAGTGTCCAGTTTTTTATCGCAAAATTCAGTCTAGTTGCGAGACAACCCAAAACTGCCATACGCATTTCGGAGACCCGATTCCATCCGATTGAATCAAGTGTTTTTTCTCGTCACATTTTTTAAGAGTTTGGACCCTAGATCCAAAAAACTTTTTTTTTCCAGTTTTCAGTTCTCTATTGCAAAATTCAGCCCAATCGCGAGACGACCCAAAACTGCCATACCCGCATTTCCGAGACCGTATTCCAGTAAACAGAACCCGAGAATCTTATCCCCCTTGTCTCTTGATGTGTGGCAGAATGATTTCACTTCGCCTCGTTTAATCAGATACAGGAGGAGGTTGATTCGGTCGCGTCACTCGATTGCGTCCCCAATCTACGATCGTGTTCAAATGCTGATACAATTGTTGGGACCGCACCTCCCCCCCCCCTTTCCTCCCGTCCCCTCCCTGTCTCGAGGAGCGGGGAACGGAATGGGCCCGAACTTTCGGAGCGAACTTTACTCCCTCGCGATCTGTCGCTCCGCATGTCTGAACTTGAAAGCTTGTCGAACTGTACGTAGGAAAGTTGCGCCCGGGAAGTTCGCAACAATTCAAGGACCGAGTTCGGAAATTGGCGCATGGAAGTCATGAGACTTCGCTGTTGCTGCGCTCACGTCCACGGTTGCCGCGTCGACGCCGAAAACGTGATTAAAATACCGTGCCAAGCGTGCCAGGAAGGATCAATACCGCTTACCTGTAAACTGAGGATTTTACATGACAAAGGAGAAAATTCGCCATTTTTCAGGGTGCCTACTACATGGAAACAGTGCAGATTCACTGAAAAAGCATGGATTTCAGAAGGTCGGTACGGAACTACGGAAAAGGTACGGATTTTCCGTTAAAAGACACGAAAATTTGAGATTACCGCAATAAACCCTGAAAAGTAGCCTTGGGGGAAAGCGATTTCCATTTAATAAGCTCCCGGTTCGATTTCTCGTGTTTTTCGGTTTATTCCTTTGTCATTCCATCATATTCCACTTTCCCAATCCGAATACTGTTGAAAATGCGTGTGAAGTGAGGAAAAAGTAAGGAAAAAGCAAGAATTTCTAAGAATCGCCGGGAAAGTAAGGGCTTTAAATCTCCAAACGTTGGTTTTTCTGCTAGCTTACCTCATGATATATTGTGCATAACATTTTTATCGAGTCAAAAAGTCAGGGAATTTCTCATGGAAGGTCAGGGAAAGTTAGGGAGTATTAAGATTCTAAACGTATTTGACCAGCCTGATTGCAGCGAAGTCGTTAATTCCTTTTCACGAAACTAAACTTTTTTTGTCCACCCTGAATGCAGCGAAGTCGCCAATTCTTTTTCACGAAAATTGTCAGTTAAGCAGTATCGTTCTGTAGCCCCGTCGTATTCTTTTATTTCCTCCGCACAGAGCGGCAAGGGTCCGCGTAATAGTCGTTCCAAGTTTTGTTTATTGTGTCTCGGGTTCAAACATGTGCGGGCTCTTTTTCCCGACTCGAAACAAGCGCCAAGCTCCCCCGCCCCGATTGAAGACGGTGAAGTTCACGGCAATGGTAATCTTGTTTGGGGAGAACGTGGATGTATTTGCCGTCATTTTAACCCGAGTTGCCCCAAGTTTAATTAGGGTTGTCTGGCACGCGAAAAAACTGGAGAACTAGAGAGCGAGCTGATCGGGAACTTTTTCGCCGCGTGCGATGCAATCCGCTCGCGTCTCGTTTTCGTATTCTTCTCCGCCTCTCCGCAGAAACTTTCACTCCGAATTAGTATCGTGAAATTGAGATTCCTGCGCGACAGCCACGGGGGATGAAATCCCTGAAATCCTCCCGGAGGACTTGAGACACAGAGCCCGCCAAAAACTCTTCATCCAGGAATGCGCTCTTCTTTAAATGCAACGACGCGATTATGATTAAACCGCATTGCCACGTTGTGCAAGAAATAGCTTTAAGAGGAAGTACGGCGTTTTTCTCACAAAAGAACGTAACTCCATTTCAATGTTGCCAAACTCCTCCCTGCAAATTGCTGAATAATTAAGAAAATCTTAGGAATTTCTAACTGAAAATTTCAAAGATTTTTCCTCAGATTCCATGCAAATCATAAAAATTTTGGATCAAATTTGCACAGGTATATTTTTGTGTAATTAGTTAATTGTTTTAGTCGATTTGGCAACCTTGGACTGGAGTATGCTGGCTTACTGGCCGTAAGCATTATAAGGGAAGCATAAAACTTGAGAAAGCAGTGTCATTACAACGGTCGGAGAGGAGAGTTTTTATTTTTTTTAAGAAGAAGAAAAAGGAGAAGCAGAAAAAGAAAAATAACTGTTTGTGGCCAGTTTTGTTTTTTTAATTTGCCATTATGATTACGCTGCAGCCTGAGATTGCTGAACATGTCTCAATACGACATGACAAGACAGAGCCCTATCTTAACCCTGTACAAAATATCGCATTTCAATATGTTATTCTACTGCTTTAAATTTTCAGTAATCGTCCCGCTGCTGTATTTGAAAAAACGCCGCAGGGACACCTAAGTGTTGCTAAAATTTCCTCCTAAAAAATATTTAATTTTGCGAAAATGTTCTCATGATGACCGAATTGAATCACGAATTCAATTTTTTGGTAGATTCGTGGAAATAAGATCGCTTGAATTCCATAAATTCGTATTCTATCGCACTAACGGTGTTTTTCTCCTACTATGGGTAGTGTGGGGTGCGTTACTTGACGTTGGCTTCTGATTTACGTATTAATTTATTGTACCCCTTTATTTTTTTGCAGGTGCTGTTGGAATACGACGATAAACCATGGACAACCCGCGAGTGGGTGAGCATTTACTCGAAGGAGAAATTCGGCATTTTTCTCGTTGAATCCGGCCTATACTGGGCGCAAAGGATCGACCCGTCGTCGAGGCGAACAGTCTACTGGCCCGCTCTGGTAAGTCTATCCCTTTTTCATCACAAATACCCACATCCTCCCTTTAAGCACCTTTAACAGGGGTTGGAGGGGAATGGTGAACCCGATGAGGGGAGGGGGTTTGTTTCCAAAAAGTCGGTAACCTATTTTATCTATCTTGAACTCGATAGGTGCGGAGAATAACGATGTAGCAAATGCTATTCCTTCTCATTGACGTAGGAAAATAAATGATTAGAAAAAAGATACTTAATTAAACTAAATAAATAAAAAACACAATCCTTGCGAGGTCTAGGTCAAACGTTGAGTGTCAAACCGAGCTAATGATAGACACAGCCCTGTGTGAAGTGTCAATATTACGGGTTGGACCAGATGCTCAACTAAATCGACGAGGGCAAAAAATTGTGTATGTGTGTGTATTTACTTACTCACACTGAGAACGAATACCACCTGCAGCTTGATCATTTACTTTTGATATCTATTGACCTTGATCTGGTAGGTATTTCTCGTAGTTTGACCTTCGTAGCTAGAGCGCCGGGCGTTCGCGCGCTGCTTTGAAATGCCGGTATTTCGCCGCGCTCCCTTCAGAGGCCCTGTGGCGCAACGGACAACGCGTCTGACTACGGATCAGAAGATTCCAGGTTCGAATCCTGGCAGGGTCGCACCAATATTTTGCCATTTCTTGGTAGTTAACCCCTTCCCTATGGTTCGTTTGATTGAGATCACTGCAATTTTACCCGGAGCTCTCACTAATTTCACATGCGGGTCGTTAACATCTTACCTTTTTTTTTTTTTTTTTTTTTTTTTTTTTTTTTCATATATTTTTTTTTATATGTATATAAAGGAGAGATATGTGCATTTTAATGTCTAGGGGTTTATATCTGTTATTTTCTGCGTGTTCAAGTTTTAAACTCGAGCACTCATTTTCTTTACTTTAAATTATGTATACCAGTGGTTTTAATCTTCATATATTACTCATAATTTTTGTCTCTACTTTTATTTTTTATTCATTATTTTACTATTTCCCTTTTTCTGAACGGAAACTTGTTCCGCTCTTAATCTATCTAAGTTTGAGTTTTCATCTTTTAATATTTAATTAGTTTTGCTCTTTTTTATCAATTTCTTTAATCAATTTATCTTATTCTTTTAAATTTAACTTCTTGATTTTAAAACTGTTTTATTAACTGTTTTTTTACATTGTTTTCCTTTTTCGTGAGATCAACAATGACAGTTTGATTTTTAAAAAAAAATGCAATTTTTTTTAAATAATTTTTATACAATTTATACAATTATGCAATGTATTCAATATATAATTTTTACAGCTTTATATAATTTTATTGTATTATTTTCAATTATTTATTTTGATTATCTCCTAATTTATATTTTATTTTTGCGGAAAAAATTCACAAAAAATATAACGAAGAATTCTAACCATTTGAGGTAGTTATCACTTCAGGTTCCATGGTGGGGAATTGAGGACCCACAAATTCTCCTTCTCATAATCACGGGGTTCTGGCATCTGGCATAGTGGATTTATATCAGCCCTCATTCGGTCATGGCCGAATAACTAAAATATTGAAGATTTTCCTCGAAAGCTTTGCCAAAATCTCCCGTGCTAAGGAGAAACGCCGTATGAACATTCGAGAGTTGCCAAATTTCCCCGGATAGAACATGTACTGTCGAGTAAATTTATGAATAATTTTCCTCAAAACTTTCAAATATTTTAGATTAAATTGCGTTCAAAATTTTCTGAAAATTTTGGAAAAAAATATTTATAATTTTCCCAGTAAATTCCGTGTTCATCGAAGGAAATTAGGCAACGCATGAAGGCTCATACGGCGTTTTTCCGTAGCACGGCAGAGATGGAGTGAAATCTGACCCTCTCGAGCGCGTTTAGTGTTGAGCCTGAAGGGCACTCTGCAAGAGGATTCGTCGGAAATGTTTACATCCCGGTCCAATTCGCCGCCCCTCCATCGAACGGACGCAACCTCCCTTCGAGTTGAGCCCTCGTGAGCATATAATTGAATGCCCTCCAGGGCTCACGATTGAATAGTGATGCGCCCTCGTGTCAGAGGAGCGACAAATTGAGGCGGCGCGAGGCGTCACGTCACATCTCGTCACGGAACGTGGGACATGGCGGCGTCTCCTGTGGCGTCACGTCATAACGCTTCATTGGCGATGATGATGACGATGACAGTTGAATTATTTATCGTCTGTCGTGGCCCTGGCCCTGGGTCTCCACTCTGGCATACTGTATTTATCCCATCAGTTAATTTTACTGCTACACCGCTATGGACCCATCCGTCGGTCGGAATAAAATGTTTTGAAAAGAGGTTGAAAATAGTGGCAACAGTTCATGCGAAATGTTGCTGATAAAACATTTGATACATTTTTTCTAACTTTTTTGAGCGGCATTTTCAAAAGCCAAGCTGTTATAAGTTTGTTTGAAATCTAATCTAAACATCCGGAATGTTAAACTGTCAGAAACCGTCAGACAGAATAAATGTGTCTGACGCTTTCCTTTTAAAAAAATTAATTATAAATGGATATATACAATTCAAATCAAAATCAAAATAGCGTATTTGTCGACTTTGGTTATTGATTTGCTGTCTGTACTCAGTGCACGGTGTACCAAAGAGAAGGAATGAGAGACTTGAAAACCTTCGTTTTATTTGCAGCTGCAGAAGAAATAGGCGCGCATTAGAAGTGCCCGCAGTGGCGCGCCGTGCGCCTTCATATCCGCGCGACAGGTCCCGCATTACCGCGAAGTTAATTTAGTTGCGTGACCCAACCTAACCCAACTCGAGTCTTCCGTGGCAGTGCCACGCGCGCCTTTGCGACAGATTTGATTTGGATCGGCGATATTCATTAAAGTGAATCAATACTGGAAATAAGCATACATCATTGTTACGATAAAATCCTTATGACAGTCGCAGTCAGGATCTCAAGGGCCAGGGATCATAGGGAAAAATCAGGAAATTACAAAAACTGGCGACAGCAGCAGTAGGGAAGTATGAAAATTTTAATCAGGCGATCATGGCATATTTTATTTCGAAATGTCGCAGCAGAAGGTACTGTATTCATGCTTGCCTTCCGAAATTTTGGGGAAAGTCTTGGTAACTGCAGCATGCGCGGTCGGAGATTTTTTGCAAAATCCTGGGGACAAAACAGGAAAATTCAGAAAATTTTCTCCGGTGTTTACTGTTTATTACCAAAAGCCAATTCCAATTTTCCGCATGAGTCTCTTCCAGGTGCTACAAGCCTTATTTTTATCATCAGAACTGAGCTCGCTCGACATCCCCCCCCCGTCCCCCTCACTTTCCAGCAAGGATGAGGTCAGCCCCCGGCCCCCGGTATGTTTAAATCTGGCCCTGATAAGCGGGTTTAAAGGGCGTCGCAGGGTTTAGAATGGGAGAGGTGATAGAGGCGAAATAAATAGTCTGTAGAACAGCGTGGTGCAGGATATCAACACTGAGCGAGATGCACTGGTTTCTACCTCCACCCTCTCCCCGCCATCCTCCGCCATTATCCTATGCTTAACGCAAGAGGAAACCATAAATAATGTCGTTGCTCGTAGTGGTGATGGTGGTTGCCCCCCTCCTGCC